TCGTCACAAAGCAGTGTTTTATGCGGATACTCGATGATAAAGTCATACGATCTATTTTTTATTTTACTATTTTCTTTTCTTGTGCGATTTCGCGTATCGAGCAGGAGTTTTATTAACATGGAAAAAATTATATTTGCGCGATAAATGAATGCTTCTTATCGCGGAGTACACATAGGATAGTACACTTAAGCAGAATTTGCGACAGGTTCACTTGACATTTTTCTCGGATAATTTTAACAATAAATCGCTCGAAGGACAGGAACGGAGGAGCGCCGGGAATTGAGAATGGCGAAAGTATTGTACGACGAAGAATCGCCCTTGTGTTACTGCGCCGAACCGAAATGCAACGTCGCGAAATTGGGGAAACGTAACGATGTAATCTTATGTACAAAGTGTTTCGCAGTTGCCGGTGATTCATTCTAGGCCGGTTGAAAAAGTAGGTCCGCGTCATTAATTTAATGCCGGAGGCATGTTGCACAAAACAATATTGCACAAGCCCAATTACGTCTCTAATCCGTCCATCAATTGTGTCAATTGTTTCGTGTAAGTGCTTATTGTCGATGTCAGTATGCCAGAAAGAATGCCACATTTATTTTGAAAATATAATAATTTCAGATAATTAAAAAGTGTCCGTTATTCTCTAAATATATTATTGGATATTATATTTAATTTGTACTTATAAATTGTGATGTGCTTCTTTCTCTTTGCTTGCACGAAGTGTTTTTATCACTTATGACAATAAAATACAACTACAGAGAGAGAGAGAGAGAGAGAGAGAGAGAGAGAGAGAGAGCTGAAAAGAATGTTTTGAATACGTCATTTTCAGTTTGAAATTCAGTTTGAACCGATTTTTATCAATTTTTTTTCTTTATGAAGATAAAAATATCTCTCATATAATTGACCATTTTGATTGAGCTTTGTCAGCACTGTAAAATAAATTAAAGTCGTGGCGACAAAATTGTGACTGTCATTCTGGCTATCGGATTGTCATCGTCAAACTTCGATCGAATGGAGTCAATGTTCTTATCTTTCTTTAACTTTACACGATCTGACCCGCATTTGTATACTGTTAAAACGTTTACGAAGAAACATCATTAAGCATCTATTAGCATTGTAATTTAACTTTGATATGTATTATACATTCATACGCTCCTCCGTTTTCCGTGACGATTTTGTGAACGGAGACATCATATAATGTTGGAAAAATACTTGACTCATATGATTGATTTTCAATTGCTTGGAAATCAGACGAAAACTTGGTTGCAAAAACGGAAAAATTTTTGTAAGAAATTTATATTCAGCCGATTGTTCTTGCTTATTTCAAATGAGTTTTCTTTAATGTAGTCCAATATTTAAGGAACGTTTTTGCTCGCGATAACAGAGATATCGTTTGTAAATCATTAGTCTTCGTTTGATCCCTGTTTAGTTAAATAAATTCAGGTTTTTTTATATATCATGTATCAACCATTATTTTGGATAACTTGAGACTTGAAACTTTTGGACTTATTGTCATCGCGATTAATTCTATGGTGGATAAATTTAAACGACGTTCAAATTTTATTTGCTGTATTACATGATATTTAACGGTCTGAAATAAAATACGGAAATGAAATAAGAAAGAAAAATGGCACACATGCGTACACACACATGCGTACACACACACACACACACACACACACACATATTCTCTATGAAAATTTAGATGTCGATCAAAGAATTAGTTCGACAAATTCCATTGATATGGAGATCATTACTTCAAGAATATGCCATAAAATTAGTTGAAAGTATGCCTCTCAGATGCCAGGCAATTATTAATAATGAAGGCGACTGGACAAGTTATTAATAATAAAACATCACAGTTCTAATCAAGTAGTATATGTATATTTTGTTCCAAATCATTTCAATAAATTATTTATCAAGTTTTGCTGTACACGCTCTTATCAAATAGACTGTACATCTATGGTCCCCTTCCAATATAAGATTAGGAACCATGAGATTATTAATTATTATGTAATATTTAATTTAAAAAATGTATTTATTAATAAAAACATGAAAGATCATCAGAGTTATTTCATTTATTGTTTGAGCTACAACAAATCATGTATAGATTATAAAAGTTGCAATAGTATGTTTGGAGGACAATATAAGTGTAAAACATGATATCTTTCATGTTTTTATTAATAAATAAATTTTATTATATATATATTTATATATATATATATATATATTTTATTATATATTTTATTATATATATATATATATATATATATATATATATATATATATATATATATATATATATATATATAAAGAAGAATTTGGTTTGTGTAGCTGAATTTCCGTTGCTCTTCGGGACTGATAAGTGAACAAAAGTTTACTTGAAAGAACAGAAAGACCCTTGAATGTTGGAGGTTTCTATTCAGGAAAATAAAAGATTTCTATTCAGTCAATCTTTTACTCAGGTATTTCGACCTCTGGCGCAAAACAATGTTTAGACGAATATTTCTGAATGTGGCAACAGAAACGAGAAAACATTCTTGTTTTACTCGTCATCCAGTTTTTGTCTAGTTTAATTATTATTCTGTTAAACGAACCGAGATTTTCTTCTCCATGCAAGTAAGAAACATGGTATTGTGTCCCTAGAGGAATAGGTACTCATGAGAAAAGAATACCATACAAAGAAAAAGAAGAAAAGAAATCTTACATAAATCGATCTACGTCCACTTTACACATCCGATCGTGTCATTCCAGACGTCCTCGACCGTCGCATCTTCGTGTAATGTGTCGTTACATAATATCGCGTGATCGTTATTCTACGACGCGTTCTGTGATATGCGTATGATTAACGGACAGGTATTTCGTTGATGTCCGTTAGCACGATTTCACCGATCGTCAGTATCATCTTTTTTTTTCTTTCAATCTTCAATGCTTCGGATATATGTACGCGTCCGGCAAAAATAATTGGCGTTAATTTAGGAAGTCGTACAAAAATTTACGCATGAAAAATTTTGCAGGCGCACCAAAATGTTTTTAGAGAAGGAAAAGAAGAATACGTGTTAACATCATGCTATAGTTAAAAAAAACGATCGACTGATTATCTTGCTTATCTAAGATCGTTCGCGATTACCTAGCAAGTTTACTCGAAGCATTTTTCCGAAGGATACAGAGAGGCACACGGTAGGTTGTCTCGACGCTCAGTCGACGTTTCGCAGTTGAAGTGACTGGATTGTCGGGAAAGATCAGCGAGGAACGATCTTTACAATTTGTCGATTTCGCGGCCAATTTAGTATCTTTTTAATTTTACAATCTGCAAAACCATGGGAACTGTGAAAAACTTCTTGAGTAAGTGCAAACAAGCAATCACGTTTACCTTTTGTACTAAAACATGATTGAAAACTGGTAGTTTCGAAGTATTAGTTGAGTGAAAAGATTTTTTATATAATATCATATAGAGAAACAAATGTACTATTACTTATTTACTATTTACTTATTCACTATTTGTGAATAAGTCGACAAATTTTTAGAAAGCCTGCATTGCAAAATTATATATTTTTTCTTGAATTATCTTCGATTTCTTCGACCACGACAAAGTCGCGCATGCCATGGCCCGCGTCATGATTCTGAGTTCTCTTTTAACGATAAATGAGTCTCTAAAAAAGGCTTAGGAGCTACCTGATTGGTTGAGAAGCTATATTTAAGGCACTTTTATCGATAAAAGAGAGTTCAGAATATAGGCCTATAACTATTAAAATAAACAACTAAGAAACTACCTTTAGCTGTGAAATTTCGCAGTTATATTTTCTTAAGATATCACAATATACGTAATTCGCCATTAATTAATTTATTTTTTTTTATTCATTTAGTTGTTAAGATAAATCTACTGTGTATAAGAAATATGGAAACAAGGAAGAAAATCTAAATTGCAATAGGCTATCTTCAAGAATTTTACAGATATACACATAAGAACAATAATTGTCCATTACTGTTAATAAGAGTAATAATCTAAAATTTGAGGTGTATCGTTTCTATGATACACTTAAAATTTTCTCGTGAATATTCTCATCTTATTTTATGACAGAGAACTATTTTTGCGAATCGCAAAAATGTTACTGTATCAAATGGTACATTTGGAGCTAAACACGAACTTTCTAAATTTTTGCTTTGAATTGTAGTCGATCTTTCACAGGTGAGTCAAAATAAAAGTTAAAATTAGAAAATAGAAATTGCAATATTGCACACGATTATATCTAATATCGAACATGCGATAAGAACAAAGCCGAAATAATTGAATTAATAATTGAATACATTTCAATATGTAGTCGACTGTACAATCAAAATGTTTACAAGTGAATATGCAGGACATATCGTTCAGTGCTTTAACTACACACTGACCTTTATGAATACTTGAGTTTACTACGACATAAGTAAAGCGATAGTGTCACCTTAGTGACGCTAATTTTATGTAAATTATGCACGCATTTATTACAATAATGTATATTTAAAGACAGCACGTGAAAATATAAATCTAAATCAAAAGAAAATATTATAAGATATATTAATTATCGCGAAGTTATTATGAAAATATTCTATGAAATATATCGATATATATTACTCGATATATGTGATATCTAAAATAAATTTTGTGATATCTAAAATAAATTTTGTAACGTTATGTGCCGCTCACCTTGTCTGCACATGTCGAAGGAAAAAATTTATTTTTAAAATGAGTTTTTTATTTTATTCAATACTGAATATATTATGATTTATTCACATAGTTTCAATATACATATTCGCTGAGTCACTACTTTCAAAAAGTATTCGAAATGCAAAGCAGATAATGCAATTTTTTGGTAAAAACATAAGTTTACATAAATTAAATTCACGATATTTCGATAGGGCGTGTATTATGTAAGTTTCGGGAAATAGCACAGAGTGTACACTGTAAAATGTAATGTATTCATGCACGATTACATCAGTATGTAAAGTTAACAATTCCGTAGAGACATCGACGGAGGAGAGCCTACAGTACATCAGGCAATCTCTGAAATCAGACGAGATGGATCATTTGGAAGGAACTCATTTCGACAGACATATTCCGCATGTATTCGTTATTCTCGGAGCATCTGTAAGTTTGTATCTGTAACTTTTAAAGAGCAATCTAGAATATACCCGAGCAGCACAAAGCATTGGGTCAATGTAGTATAATGGTCAATATAGAATCCTCCTACAGCAGCCAATTGTTGGCCAACTAATATGTGCTGCTAAAGTACGGAAAAAAGTCTCAGTTCGTGTAACTATGGTAATGTAATGTAATGTAATGATGACTAAACGAGAATCCGATGATGGTAAAACACGATATTTCTGTTATCATGACAAAATATTCGTTTGCACAGAAAATCAGTTGCACGAACTTATTGAATTTTTTCCATTACAAAAGCGAGTTACGACGTGACAAACTGCAAATTCGAGAGCGAATAATCGATTGTAAAATTTGTTTGCACACATTTATCGAGATAAATTTCGTAAATTTTTTTCAGCAATCGATGAATTAACATTGACGCTTATTCTTATGTATTAAATTCCATTTGTATCGTTTTAATCTAAGTACTAATGAGACACATGTTGAAAAGGGTGATCTCGCCAAGAAGAAGATCTATCCGATCCTCTGGTGCCTCTTCCGGGATAATCTCCTGCCGAAACCCACCGTATTTTTTGGATATGCCAGGTCCCCATTGACGGTGCAACAATTGCGCGCGCAATGTGATTCGTACATGAACGTGAAGTCGGACGAGGTGGAGAAGAACGAACAGTTTTGGAAGTTGAATCATTATGTCTCGGGCATGTACGACTCGCACAACGACTTTGTGAATCTGAATAACAAATTAAACAAATATGAACAGGGAGACGTCGCACACAGGATCTTTTACTTGGCACTACCACCGACTGTATTCCAGACCGCTACGGTACACATAAAAAGCCACTGTATGGGAGAGAAGTAAGCAGTCACGAATTTATTATTCAGATATACATATTTTAACATATTATTAGCAGAAACTTCAAACTAAAATCCACGAACTTTCAGAGGATGGACGAGGATCATCATCGAGAAGCCGTTTGGTTTCGATATGGCTTCGTCGAAAATGCTCTCCGATCATTTGGCGTTGTTGTTCAGCGAGGAGCAGATCTATCGTATCGATCATTATCTTGGCAAGGAAATGGTGCAGAATCTGATGACTCTGAGATTTGGCAACAGGGTGTTCAATCCAACGTGGAACAGAGACAACATAGCGTCAGTGCAGATCACTTTCAAAGAGCCATTTGGTACTGAGGGTAGAGGCGGTTATTTCGACGAGTTCGGCATCATCCGCGATGTGATGCAGAATCACTTGCTGCAGATATTGTCTCTGGTAGCTATGGAGAAGCCCGTTTCTTGCCATCCGGACGACATCAGGAACGAGAAGGTGAAAGTTTTGCGATGTATCAAAGAACTAGAGCTTGAGCAAGTGGTTCTTGGTCAGTATGTCGGCGACTCTGAAGCAGAGGATCCGAGTGCGCGTTTGGGCTACTTGGACGATCCCACGGTACCGTCCGACTCAAACACACCGACATTCGCTTCCGCGGTATTGAAGATAAACAATGAAAGGTGGGACGGAGTACCATTCATTCTCAGGTGCGGGAAAGGTGAGTGTACTTGAGAAGATTCTTTCCTCGGAAAACGAAAGATTGTTTTTTCTAATGGTGGCGCGGTGTGTCGTAGCTCTGAACGAGCGAAAGGCCGAAGTTAGAGTCCAATATCAAGATGTACCTGGTGATATCTTCGACGGGAAAGCGAAACGGAACGAGTTGGTGATAAGGGTGCAGCCTGGAGAAGCGTTGTATATCAAAATGATGACGAAATCGCCCGGCATCACGTTCGACATGGAGGAAACTGAACTGGATTTTACTTATAACAATAGATATAAGGTGATCAACTACATAGGGATCAAAGAATTTGTCGTTAAAATTGGAAGCTCTATTTGGTAATGTAATAGAGCGCGAGTTGCATCGAAAAGAAAACTGAAAAACGCGTCTTTCACAGGGCTTAAAATTACCGGACGCATACGAGAGATTAATCCTGGATGTTTTCTGTGGATCGCAAATGCATTTCGTACGAAGCGATGAACTAAACGAAGCGTGGCGTATATTTACGCCGTTATTGCACCGAATTGACCGAGAAAAAATCCGGCCGATTCTTTACAAGTAATATAGTGAAACGAAATATACACACACAAATATTTTTTAAATGATTGTTGTAAAATATTTGATATTCGTTGAATATTTCAGATACGGATCTCGAGGGCCGAAAGAAGCCGATGACATGGCAAAGAAAAATAATTTCGCTTATTATGGTTCGTACAAATGGGTAAAACCGTGACACCTGCATCAACTACTGTGAAAAGATATTTATATCACACGAAATGTAAATCCTGACACAATTTTATGGCTCAACCAACATAAAACTTGTAATCGTCACATTCCGTAATTTTGATGCAGTTTTATATTTCTACAATTTTATATATATTTTTACATACAAATCTATCTTTTTATCTGATCTATAATCGTTTATATTCTGCATTTTTATTGTGATCTCCGTGCAGAAAGATCTAGACGAATTGTATCGATGTTATCTTCGAGAGATTATTTTAGCAAAGAAATAAATATCGCATTTTCTATTTATGTAGATCAGTTTTATTAAATCTTAATAATTTAAACATGATGCCAATCACGTACTCTGTACAGGGGGATCTTTAATAACATAAATTATATAATACTAGAATTTTTGAGATTATCCAATTACAGTGACTATAAATAAGAGAAAGTTGAATTACCATATATATAAGTGTACGTGTGTGTATGTAAGTGTATTGTGTATGTGTATATCTACTGTGAAAAATCCTTATTTTACGTGTATCAGGTAAGCAATAGCCAATCATCCTGCATTTTACACTAGATTTCACGATTCCCTAAAATCCTGCTATTCTTCAGCTCTCCTTTATATATATATATATATATATATATATATATATA